GTAAAGTATTTACTGTGTCAGGTACTTTCATATAAATGTGAGAATAGTTAATACTAATAAAGAGATAGGTTCTCTAATTTATGTCTTTTCAACAGCTTTGAGAGACAGGAATTACTACGTCTGCTTTATAGCTAGGGAAAGCAAGTTTGCAAAGTTTAGTAGTGGGAAATACTTCCCAAGATGTAATCTGCCTTTCCACCTAGAAAACAACTCTGTGAAAATAAGACTAACAGAAACAAAAACAAAAGCAAAAATTGTTCATGTTAATTGCATAATGGCTTTCACTGCATTAAAAAAAAACACTCAGCCGGGCTTGGTGGCTCAGCCTGTAATACCGCGCCTTGGGAGGCTGAAGTGAGTGAATTGCCTGAGCACGTGGGTTCGAGACCCGCCTGGGCAACTTGGGGAGACCTCATCTCTACAACAAATCAAAAAATTAGCCGGGCGTGGTAGCACGTGCCTGTAGTTCCAGCTACTTGGAAGGCTGAGGCGGAAGGATCACCGGAGCCCTGCAGGTCGAGGCTGCGGTGGCCAGGAGCAGCCACTGCACTCCAGTCTGGGCAACAGAGTGAGACTCCAACTCAAAAAAACAAACAAACAAAAAAAAACACTCAAAACTTCTTAATAATTACAATGACTTGTTGTCTCAGTTCTCCTTGGGTAAGCCTTTGCCTCTGATACAACATAAAATGAAAAAACGAGTGGGAAAGTGATGTGCTGGACAAAAGAAGAGGCTAATAATAATGGGATAAGGCCACACAAAGTCATTCATAGCCATCTCTACTTTACTTGACTCTCCCTGCTCCCTGTAAAGCAGAGTTCCACTTGGATCCTTCAGGCAGCCTTCCAGTAGTCCCCAGCCCTAAGGGTTACAACTACAAATGAAGACAAGAGATAAGAAGAAGACATGAAATCAGCAAGATCTGTCTTAGCAACTGTACTTTTAAATGCCATAAAAGACAAATAGCAGAAAGTTTTAATCCCGGAAACCCTGAAATTGTGTTTCAAAGTCAGACTATGCATTGGAACTGGAAGAAAAGCCAGTGTTTATTCTTGATTGACCAGCGTACAATCAATTCAAAAATGTCACTTAAAAAGCTTTTAGTCTAAGATCTTCCTAGCTTTGTTCACTCTCTTGTTCAAGTGATTTCTTTCAGCTTAATGGGGAAAGAAGTCAAAAACAAAAACAAACAAGAGCCCCACAAAACCAACTCACTGTAATTTTAGCTTTACTACTCTTGAATATAAGTAAACATTCTGCGACTCAAGATAGGCCGACTCAAGTGTTTTGGGGACCTAGAACAAGAACATAAGCAGAGGGTTCCAGACTTGGACCAGCCACTCTTTGTTCCCGTTGTTCCTTTGTGCACCACAAAAGGCCTTTCATACAGATATTAGACATCCAGATCATGAGTGCAAAGCTGTGATCAACAACATCCCATCCCCTCCCCAACTCCATGTCCCATGCTAACAGCAGCTCTTGGTATCCCCCTGAGACTTATGGGTGGGCACATTACATAACTCCTGGAAGTGGGCTTCTGAATGCTTGGGAAAGAATGCCAGGGTCCTATTTACCTCAAATGTGGTCTAGAAGGGAAAGAACAAGAACTAAGTGGGCCCATCCTCTGGACCCAAAGACTCCTCTATAACCAGAGCTATAGGGGAAGTTTGCTCAGTGCAAAGTGTGGTACTGTTTCAAGATAACTTGCCTTGATTTGGTAGATTTGACTTTTTTAAGTTTCATATTTTTTTATACCAAGTTTTATACTTTGGTGAGAACAGAAAAGAGGACTCAGGAAAATGTGATTTAATTGGTATAGAACAAAAATGACAGCAAAGGAAAGCAACAACTTCGCTTTATGAAAAAATGTTCCTAGACTCTGATAGAGATTAAATATGTGAGGAGAGGAATCAAAGCAGATATAGGGCCAAGATTCCGAAATGGAACCATGAAGAGCTGGGCAAATCCTACTGGATATTTCCCACATGGTGGTTTCAGTGCGGATTCTGGAATCAGACAGGTATGGGCATAAAGCCCAGTGCTGCCATATGCCAATTTAAGTTAGCAGTATTTAAACTAACTTTTCTCTAATCTTGTTTCCTCATGTGATAATGGTAAGCAAAATAAAATCTACCTGGTAGGACTGTGATGAGTGTTAAATGAGAAAATGCATGTAAAACATTTAGCACAGTGCCTGAGACATTGCAAATGATATTTACTGGTGTTATCAAGTATTTTAATGCAACATCAGGGATGGAATTATGGCCTAATTGTTGTTTGGCAAGTAACTTAGCAAGCTGTCATATATTACTTGGCATCAGTTTATTTCCATGCTCCCTATTTGAAATAAAATTTATTCTTTGAATAATTATGAAAGAACTTGAGATGTGATTTTTTGGAATTAGTTAAAAGTGAACTGAATGCTAATAACTGTCTTCACTAGGTTTCCAAAATAAAAACAAAAACAAAACATCATCTAGCTATAAGAAGTATATCTTCTAACCAGAAAAATTGTATAATCTTCCTGTTTACCATGCATACATCTTTCAAAATCAGTACCTATCAAAATGAGTCAATATACTATACAAATGCAATTTATAACAATAATGACTACCTTAATTGGGTACTGCTTTGTGCTAAACAGTGCACCATTTACTTTATCTAAAGTATCTACTTGGTTTAATTCTCCTAACTTTCCCCTCCCCCATTAAGGAGTGTAAGGCGCAGATGACGATAATACTGGGTGGGGGCACAGAGTCCCTGTCCTTTCCATTTGTACCCTGCTGGAGCTAGGTTTCTGAACGGCTCCTTTAAATCCCTCCCCAACCTCTCAAAGGAAATTATATGGGTCTCATAGGCAAAATTAACATTTGACTGTTTGGCTTTTAGCCCTTTTTTGAGATATGTTTTTGTGCGTGTGTGCCCTCTCAGAGGGTTCTTGTCACACTTCATATCTGTCTTGCTGCAAATTTAATTAGGACTAACTCATGCTAAATTTTCTTTTGTTGCTATAAATAGAGCTCATCCTTGGTGGGTGAAGAAGATGGAAAAACCACCACCAGATAAAAGGAAACTCAGTTTACTAGGTTTCTCCATATAATCACACTGAATCAAAACACAGATACTACTGAAAAATAAACTGTGGGGTCTGGCGTGTAATTTAAAAAATGCTAATGTGCAATACGTCTCAAAGGCACTTTACAAGTATATTGTTCTTGGCATTACAATATACCACCACTTTTTGAAACCTTCAGTTATGTGTCCTGAGCTTTACAAAATGTCATGGGCTGGTTGGACCATCAAACGCAGATGTTCGTTTGTATGTGCAATGATTTGCTGAATTTCATACCTTAATTATTATTACTGTATCTACAGGCTACAAGCTGATCACAAGATATTTTACAGACTCCTCATGGGGTAGCCAATTGTAGATTAGAAAACAAGTCTCAGGTTACACACCCCTAAGTGCCAACCACAATACATCACTCCTCTACTCTTTGAGCAGAACTTATTCAGAGAAATGGAAAATATGGAAAAGCTATTTATGGACAAAAGAAGGATGCATAAAAAATGTGTTCCTGGAAAAAAATATATTCCATATTCCAAATCTGCCAAGTTTTTGGTACAATCAGAAAGTATACTAAGAAAGGAGAAATAACTTTATTGGAAGTGTAGTGGCACCAATAACCAAAATACTTATTTTAAAGAGAGAGAGAACAAACTAAGGCTTTGGTGAAAAAAATGCATACTTTTTTTTCAAAGAGATTCTAAAACGAGTTGCTTTATTTGAGGGCAAAGAGGATGTTTTTGTCAGATCTACAGATTGCACATCTAAAGAGAAAGTATAAACGCACAGGTAAACATTTTGGACAGAAAAACAGTTATGGGTTCAGAACACAGGAGCTTCTTGCCAGTGAAATAAAGCAAATGTCAACATCCAGACACACTTGAAACATTCAGAAAAATGTCCTTGTTATTCCTCTCCATATATAATATGCCATATGACACCACAGTTAAATCTGCTATTGCAAAAAAAGTACGTCAAGCTGTTGCTTTCCATGAGATTTGGACAGAGGCGAAACAACACAACAGAAAGGAGTCAGGGATGGTATAGCTTTCAATTCTCTTTCCTGACAAGAAAATGACTTCCTACAGTTAGCTGACCAGGAGTTAACACTCATCCTGCCTGGAGCCGGGACCTGGAGCAAGGACCCAGAGCACACCCAGAGGAAGACCAAAATTCAGCTTCAGGTAATTGTTAGTGGGGATACGAAACTAGAGAAAACGGCGAGCCACGCGTCACACACACACACCAGTCATGCCTTGTGCATTTTCTGTCCTGCGGGTGTGTTGTACAGCTCTTTCCATAACAATCCAGTCTTTTCTTTCACTCCCCCTGCCATATCATCAACAGGCATGCCAAATGCAAATCTCATTGGATTCTGATCCCAGCCTGGCATACTGAGTTTCACAATAATCTCCACAATGCCAATTATTCACAGCCCCTCAGTTCTGTTCACACAAAAGATTGCAGTTTGAATCTTGCCTTGCACAGGTTCAGCTCGGTTGGAGCTGGTTACCAGGCAAATGCTCTGTTTTAAGATCTACCGATCGCCGGGGAGAGTGAGTTGGGGGTGGAGGGGTAGGGATGGACAAACCACCCTGTACATACCTCCTTCTGGCAGCTAAGAAAAACAATTTTCTGACAAAGAGACTTGTTCTTTTCAAAGCTCACACAAGAAATGAAACTGACAGAATGAAACCTGAGAAACTTTAGCAACCAAAGAAAGCAGCCTTCCAAGGATCAAGGTGAATAATTGATTTGTCAGGTTTTGTTTCATCTTTTAAGCTATTTTGCTCATTAAAAGTAAATTGTGGAATTTGTCAGGAGCCCAAACACTGACACACACTTCTGACAGCAAGTGCATATTCCAAACTACGGATACATTTGCCAAGCTTATTCAACAATAACGATTAGCAGCAAAGCCAGGGAACTTACCGAGCACAAAATTATTGGAACAAAGCAGGGAGGAGGCAGGAGGCACCAAAGGCAGCTTCTTCGTCTCCTTGGTGCCAGGTTTTCCCGTCTGCTGTCCGGTTCACACTTGCCTTTATAACTAAGACTCCAACAGAACTCACTAGCAGAACCTGATGAATTATAAAACAGCCTCTCCTAGACTCTCATATTTTACATCGCAGGGGGTGACCGTGCAGCATCCTCGCTCGCCGGTTACATATATTTCCTTGTAACTCATCCTGATAAATATATCAGCCTTAGAAGCAGTGACAGTAATTGGTGTTTGGGATGTACCACTGTTAACCAATAAGATGCTTTCCCACCATCAGCACCACATCACCATCCTTCACTCCTGTTCCCCTACACCTTGTTAAGGTGGATCCACCCAACCCAGTGTGGGGTAGGCAAATATGACAAAATGTGGAGAAAAGTACCTGTATCAATGCACACATAGCGAGGTGTACTACTCAGGGTTAATTCTCACAACAGTCCTATAAGGAGCAACCCTATATTTGCATAGCCTGTCACAGTCTACCAAACACTTTCACTCTCACCAAGTCTCTCAGCGACAGAAAAGGTATCAGGAGCCCTCCAGTACAGATGAGCACAAAAGCTTGGAGAATTGAAGCGACTTCTTTGTTTGGTATTCACCCAACTTAGGGGTTGCAAGGAGCCCTAGAGATTTGGGAGTCCCATCTGCTCACCGTGCAGATAAAAATAAAAATAAAAAAATTTAAAACCTGGAAAGAAAGATAAAGTGACCCACCCAGGTCACACAATTACTAATTGTGATTTAAGCCTGAACCCAAACCCAGGTCTTCTGATGTCAAGTACAATGTCTTTGTCTCCTACTATGCTGCCTCCGGAGTATGAAAGTTCTGAAAATGGGAAGATGTGGAAATCAGGAACAGTATTATTGACCAAAAATCATTACTAGGCAGGCTTCATGGAGAAGTGCCTGAGCTTTTTGTCTCTCCTCTGACAAGGTCAGTATAACCTCTTTAGGTTCATTGAATGTCAGCTCTAGAAAACATGTTTTGGATAATAATAACTACTATCTATTCAGCACATCTTATACACCAGTGTTTAAGTGCTAGTATGTATTGACTCATTTAATCTTCAAAATGTCCCTGTGATGTAGCTTCTATATGAGCAATATATTGCAATTGAATAGACTGAGAATTAGAGACGTGAACTAATCAATGCAGGATCTGTTAAGAGGAAGAGCTGGAATGGATCCCATGCAACTTAGTTTTAAAGCCCACACTCTGGAACATATCATCCTATCCCAAGCAGGGTTTCACATTAAACTGTTAGAGACAGAAAAACAACAAGAGCAGATTTATTTACTATGGACTTTAGTAGAAATGATAGAAAGATTGCAAATTTCTGAATTAAACAGAATTGTGTTCACCTGTCTTTGCCACTAATTTAGTACAAATGGGTTGTTTTATCCATAAAATGGGCATACTAATACCTATCTCATAAGGTTGAGTAGAGTATGTCAAGGAAATATAGTGCTTAGTTTATGGGATGTACCCCCAAATTGGTGGCTTTCATTCCTAGCATACTTTCTTTGGCAAAATGAATTTCTGCCCCAATATTTTCTTCCTAACTTAAACCAATATTTTCTTCCTAAACTAAGGTCAGTTGTATTGTGCCGAGGAGTCTTCTAACCCGCCTGCCTGTGAAGGGGGAAAAAACCCTAGAAAGATCTATCATCCAGACTATAGAACATCACCAGGAACACATGGACTTTTTGCCAGAGGATGAAAAGCCCACAGGGTTCAGGCAGGGCTGCCAGTCCAACTCACTAGCTTCTCTCTACTTCACTTCCACCATTAGTCAAGTGAACTTGCCAGCCCAGAAAGCACATCCACAGCATGTTTCTATCCACCGTTAGGCCAACTTGGCTTCCCACACATTTTTCAAACAAGCACCAACCACAAATCTCATAAAACCAATGAACTTTATACTTATGGTTATTAAGTCAAGGTATGCCAAGCAGGGAGACAATCATCTCTGCCTTGAAGTTCCCACTGCCAACTGCTGACCTAAGTCAGCATAACCCTAGAATTATTTGGCCACTGGTCCCAATCAGATGAGCTCATACATATAAGAAACTGCTATCTTCAAGGTATGCAATCAGTATTCCTTGAGAACCATCAGCAGTAACCCTCTGTGGGACAAGGTGATGCTGTAATGTTGCAGGATAAGCAGGTTTAAAGATGAGAGTTTCTTAGCTCCATGTTTCCAGAGAATGACTCTGTAGCCAACTTAATTTGCTCACATACAGACGACTCTCACCTTGTTTATCTTTCCCTCTGAGCATCTTTCTAGGGACACCAGAACATGCATGGATAAGGGTCCTCATTCATTACCATACTTGATACTAGGTACGGTGGAATCAGAGGTAAGAATCATCATTGGGGGTGGAAGGTAGGGGAAGATATGGGCTTCTCAACTGGTAAGAAAAGCCATGTATGAATGCCAGTGTAGCAAAAAGCAGATGATAACTGACTACAAGACCAATGGTTACTTACTATACAAGTGGTATATCCACATATTACCTGAAGCAGCTTGGTCTAGTCTCCAAGTCTTACCATGATTCTCAGCTCTTTTGACCTACCATAATCCCCAAGAACCCCTTCAGCAGCCATTTCTTCCCTGTCCATTTCCCTGCTACCTGGCTATTCCATCATTATGACATATCCCATAAAAAAAATTAATATAGATGGAAAAGAAGCCCTCTTTCAGGACCATACTTAATACTAGGTACTATATAGGAGCAGAGGTAAGAATCATCATTGAGGATTGAGGATGAGGGAGACATGGGCTTCTAACTGGTAAGAAACTTTTTTATTGTAATATTTCTCTGTTCCCCTGTCAATGGATAATCATAACTTTATAAATATTCTGTCATAAGTGCCACCTTACAGCACCCTCAGACAAATGAACAATGTATAACCTTGAAACTTATACCAATATTTTGCTTATATTAGTGATGGTGCTAATATTTATTGAGCATTTATTATGGACTGGTGACATGCTAAGCTTTACTCATATTTCTCATTTAAACATGACAATAAATTTTTGAGATGGATTGTACTATTATCTCTGCTTTATAGGTGAGTATTCTGCAGCTAGAGAGGTTAGGTGACTTACAAATGACACAGAATAGTCATTGAGGTCTAAGATTGTAGAGCCTATTCTCTTAACCATTATATCCACTGCTTCTAAAAACTTGAGGTAACAGATAACACAAAACATTCATGTCTGTTTTCACTTTCCCACAACCCATTTTCTCCTTAATTGTCTTCAATTAGGCTCCACTCTCACCATCCCACTAAAATTGCTCTTATCAAGGTAAGCAATGTCATCCTCAACCCGGGCTGGAATGCAATGGCATGATCATAACAAGTGGGCACTCTCAAACTCCTGGTCTCGAGCAATCCTCCTGCCTCAGCCTCCTGACTAGCTGGGACTACAGGTGGGCACCACCACATCTGGCTAAGTTTTTTTTTTTTAATTATTATAGTATCTGGATTTCACTATGTTGCTCAGACTGGTCTCAAATTCCTGACCTCAAGTGATCCTCCTGTTTCAGTCTCCCAAAGTGCTAGAATTACAGGTATGAGCCAATGCACCCAGCCTTGAATAAATCATTCTCCCCACTTGATTTCTGAACCCCCCTTGGTTTTCCACCTACTTCTCTAACACATCCTTCTAAGTCTTCTTTGCTGGGGCCTTCTCCAATTTCTGATCTTTCAAATTTGGAGTGCCCCAGGGTTCAACATTAGGCCTTTTTAGGTGCACTCACTCCCAAGGCCAGACCTCCAACATCAAGGTCCAAATACTCTCTGTAGATTAAAGGCAACCACATGTAGATCCCCAGTCCCAGTCTGTGCTATGAATTCCAGGCTCTTTTATTCAGCTGCATGCCACATCTAAGCATCTTGTCTCAATTGTTTAATAATAGGATTCCAATATTCATAATGCCCAAGACTAAACTCTTACTTTCCTCTCCAAAATCTGTTCTGTTCCCAGTATGAACCACTTAAATAAATAACATAATCATTGACCTAGTTGCCCTGGCCAAAAACCTGGAAGTCATTTTTGACTCTTCTTTTTGTCTTGCATCCCATGTGTTTTGTCATCAAATCCTGTCAACTCTATCTTTACAATGTATCCTGAATCTTTTTTTACACCTCTTATCTTCCTAGTCTATATCACTATTATTTCTCACATGGATTTCTGTAACTACCTCACAACTGATTTCCTTGTTTTGACTCTTGTCTTGCTACAACTCATCAGCTACACAGCAGCCAAAGTAATTCTTTTAAAATAAGAAGGGAGCAATGGTTTGCGTCTGTAATCTCACCATTTTAGGAGGCCGAGGGAGGGAAGATTGCTTGAGCCCCAGAGTTCAAGACTAGCCTGGGCAACATAGCAAGATCTAGTCTCTACAAAAAATCAAAAAATTAGCAAAGCGTGATGACGCACACCTGTAGTCCCAGCTACTCAGGAGGCTGAGGTAGAAGGATCACCTGGTCCCAGGAAGTTGAGGCTATGGTAAGCTGTGATCATGTCACTGCACGCCAACCTGGACAACACAATGAGACCCTGACTTAAAGAAAAATTTTTTAAAAAAATGAGTTAAAACCAAAGTCAGACACCAGTGCTCCCTGCTCAGCTCCCTTAGGTGGCTCCCCCATTACTTAGAATTTGCTCTTTCACTGCAGTCAGGATTCTGTCTGCTCAAATGTCTTCTCCTTAGAGGATGCTTCCCTGGCATTCTGATTAGAATAGCATCCTCCATTTATCTCTACCCTCTTGCTAGACTTTTAAAAAATGTATAGGACTTGGCTGGGCTCAGTGGCTCAGCTTGTAATTCCAGTGCTTTGGGAGGCAAAGGTGAGTGGATTGCCAGAGCCCGTGGGTTCGAGACCAGCCTGGGCAACTTGATGAGACCTCGTCTCTACAATAAAAAATTTTTAAAAATTTAAAAATGTATAGGCCTTATCTTGACTTAAATTTATATTATATTTGTTAACTCCCCCCCCCCACTAGAATAGAAGCCCATGGGGCCAGAGGCCTTGTCTGCTTGTCTGTTTTGTCCTTGGTTGAATCTCTAGCACTAGAACAGAGTTTGCCACATAATATGTATTTAATGTTTATTAAATGAATGTATTCAAAGACCTATCGTCACTACTTCTTAGTCCTATATCTTTACCTAAATTGCTTATCATT